TAGCGAGTCCCTGTACAATCGGCGTCAAATGAAACCCGAACAGCGGAAAGCCTTCGCGACAGTGTAGTGCGTGCCGTCCAGCTATCACCGCGGCCAGGCACGCATGTATGCTGTCCAACAGTATGCGCGCGCCTATCACCGCTGATAACTGGACGGCTCGCACTGCACTGTCGCGAAGGCTTGCCGCTGTTCTGGTTTCATTTGACGCTGTCCCTACCTGTGAATTCATCGGAACCGCCGCTGTTAGCGACACCTCGCGCACGGTTATGGGCAAATTCATTGGCGTTGGGACATAAGGATGCAAGTTGTGGGCTGAGAACCGTGTTATGGTGTGAAATCCGGTAGCCCCCTCGTAGCCGAGAATAGCCGCTGCCTCCCGCGAACTCGAGGCGAAAGCCCTAGCTGCGGAACGCGAGTCTGTAAAGACATTTAGATGAGATGGGTCTTTCATTGCTATAGCGATGGCGATTCTCTCAGCCACCGTCACCGAAACCTGCCTAACCGATGTGGTGCACAGCAGAGTGCCACTGTGATAGCATACGCAAGTGTCTGAAAACAATTGCAACACGGGTTGCGAATGATGAACGGACCGCCAAAGCAACAAAAAAAAAGTCCACAGTCATACCGTGAGTGGAACACGGTTTTCAAAACGTGGCCAAACAATATGGCGTTCACGGTGTTTTTTCGCCTCCTGATAATGTAGGGTTTAAGGTCCCGAAACCGCCATAATATGTCACGAGCTCGTGGCGTCGACCAAGGGAGCAGACTCGATGCTGAGGTGAAACTGTTTATTCGACCGAACTTGTGGCCAGAAAACTGAAGGTCAGATTAGAGCAATACACGGGAACTGATAGCGGCGAACACAGCATCGGCCGTCGATCAACTGACAAGCCGTGAGGCGCGTCGGCATTTATACAGGTGCCGTCCAATATTCTAGCGGTATCGCTTCGCTAGCACTACGTGGGTTCCAGAATAATCTCTAATGTTTGCGAAGTGGGCGTAATCTTAACAAAATGATCTACTACAGCCTCGAAGCTTCTCGAACACCGTAGGTGCGGTTTGTGCTGAGCATATATAGTGTATCAGGGCCATAACGAACTTGAGGAAAGGAACGTGGCAATATGGTTATGAGAGAGGCCGTAGTAGAGGGCTCCGGAAATTTCGACCGCCTGGGTTTCTTTAACGTGCGCCCCAAATATGAGCGGACGGGTGCACAGCATTTTCGCCTCCGTCGAAAGCGCAGCCGCTATGGGATCTTCGGATTAACAGTCGAGCGCCACAACCACTTACATTAGTGCGGCGAAACACCTCTTAGCCTCCTGATAGCTTGTGCGCAAAAGTGCTAACATTGCTAAGCAGAGAAAAACCAATGAATGTGTTCCTGGCAACTGCGGAATAAAGCACATCTTCCAATATACAGAATGCAAGGAGGCAATTGTTTATAAAATGCCGTTTATACGGGGAAAGTTACATTGATCACAGCGGAAGATGCACCAACGTTCGTCTTCGGCCTTGCGAACGCTCACTGTCAGAAACAAAACCGTACTCTTTCGTCGCCCATTCTCACGAATGCCGCTGCTCACACTTCTTCTACGACACAATGATACTGTCTCATCGCAATAATCGGGTAGCTAGGCAGGCCTTCTACATTCGAAGGAAAAAACTTCATGTGTCACCGTGCCGTAAATTTCGCTGAGCGACGCACAATTTACGTATCTTTGCAGCACCTGCAATAGATGACACCAATGTATACATACGTTTCTCATTGCTTGCGGCGTGTTCGGGTGTTTTTTCTGTTTTTTTTTTCCATTTTCCCTTTATGTTGTGCTTCTATATGTACTGCTTTTTCCCAAATAAACTTCAGTTACGTGTCAGTGCCTATGTCTGTGTTTTTTTTTTCTTCGTCGTTTCGTGTGCGCTGAATCAACCAAGATATCGACGTATCCTAATATATTCGATACGATACATCCCAAATGTGTTTTTATTCCAGCAGTGTCCTGTATATGTATCTCAAATATTTCGCGCCTTCTATTGTATCGCGATTCAATTTTAAAGTATCTTCGCCCAGCCCTGTACGCCCCCACAAATTTTGACCATTAGCGATGTTTGCTTGTTTTCCTCTCGCGAAATCGTTCAATGTATGAATATCAGAGTAATAATTATTTCGGACTGAAGGAAAAAGAAATGTTTTAGGTTCCCCGTTGACGGCTATCTCACATTACTGCAAGCGCCAGCGTCCTTATGGAAGTTCCACATTGCCGTTAATAAGGCGTTTCAAATTATCGCTTTCGTAAAACAAAAACGTGCATTAACACATGAATTGGAGTTTCACGTGGTGTATTTCGTGCTCGATGATGGACTGAAATCTTCGCTTTCCTCGTAACATTTACGATTTTCTAGGGTTTGGAAAAACTCTTAACGCGAAATGAACCTTCCGTAGAGTAAGCAAGATCCACTTATCTTCGGTGCCTACCGTACACTGATCCTCGTGTGTTTGCGGGCGTGTGTATGCAGAATGTGTCTAGATATTGGTGAATTTTATGGGTTTTTCTTTTGGCAAAGTTTCGCGTTGATCTACCCCGTTGTATTGTCACGAGGCCGGGACGTGGTCGAATGGAGTGGACTCAATGCTGAGATGACTGTTTATTCGGCCGAACTTGTGGCCAGGAAATTGAATGTCAGATTACAGCAATACGCGGGAACTGATAGCGGCGAACAGAGCGTCGGCCGTCGATCAACTGACAAGTGGTGAAGCACGGCGTCATTTATGCACGTGTCGTAGAATATTCTAGCGATATCGCTAGCGGCCACGTAGGTTCCAGAATACTAGACACCTTCACTTGGGCGTATGTAACGAGCCTACGTACGCGGCGCGATACGTTGCGTGCGCTGCATGCGAAGCGCTCAACGACACATTTAGTTCATGACCATACCGAGATACGTTTGGTTCAAGTAGACGTATGTTATTAGAAATACAACAGCTTCTGGATGCTTTTTAGCGCACTCGTGTGGTAGCGGCCGTCATAATGACCACTAGCATCCAAGCCAAGGCGAATCAATTCGGATCCATAGTTTAAGACGGTCTGTTCCGGATGTCTAAACGGATCGCGGGTTTGTACTTTTAATAGCAGCGCAACATCGTCTCCCCCCCCCCCCCCCCCCAAAAAAAAAATTGGCCCCGTATCTGCATTTAATTTGCAAATGTCGTCGAAAGACGATAGTCTTGCGTGTTGAGAGTGTGAAGAAAACATTTATTTGATGTTCTGCGCAAGAAAATTGATGAATGGTATTCTGGAGGCGCTGCGATAGTGCATCGAGCGTGCAGCGGAAGCGAACGAGCGCATCAAGTCACGCCACACGTGAGACATGAGCGCCTCCTGGCAGTTTTCTTGAAAAACGAAGTGCGTTGCTCTGAGACGGGCGTCCGTCTCAGAGGTGATAAGGTGTAGAACGCACGGCGACGGGTAGGTGCCACCACCTTAGCAAAGCGTTGGAAACACTAGCCTTTTCGTGCAAAAGTTGCATGGTAAGCGCAGCGTGATAAGCGCTATAGTCCTTAAAATTAAATTATGCATTTTCTAGTAAAATGCGCACATGCAGAATAAATGTTGTTATGGTGCATCAGATTTGCTCAATGATTGCTTTTTAATTGACAATTGCACAAGTATGAACGCTGAATCTTGAGCAACTTTGGTGGGTGCTGCGGATAGGGTTGGCTGTTTCAAGTACCCGGTGCCGTTAAGAGTGTACAAACAGACAGACACACAGACCAAAATGTTTGCGTCGAAGGTCCCCAAGATAGAGTATCGTCTTTAAAAAATATACTCGATTTGTGCCGGCTTTGTTCCTCTCTGTATTCGACGCCATCGCTGCCATTTTGCTATCTGGTTCGCCTACCAATCGAGATATCGCGAGAGCGTCACGCCGCGTACGCTCCGCCTCGTCACGTTTACGCACGCCGCGTTTTTCTTCTTTTTTCGGCGTACGCACGCATCCACGGAAAAGATTCGTTACGCATTGCGCATGCGCACTTCTCTTCCTTAGCCACGCTGTACGTAGGCTCGTTACGTACGCCCAACCGAAAGTGTCTAATCTGAAATGTTCTCGAAGTGGGCGTGATCTTAACGAAATCATCTACTACAGTCCCGAAGCTCCTCGAACACTGCTGACGCGTTTCGCAGATAATACGTACAGGGTAACGGGGCGATGAAAAAACTTGAGGTGTTGAACAGTGCGCCAAGTCGCCTCCATTTCTTGTCCTGATATAAACTAAGGGTAAGTGTGTGCGCTCTGTGATACCCGACACGTTGAATCTCTTCCTCGCATTGCCAACCAGTCGAGGCAGCCAGCTCGTTGGGTGGACATACATGAACACGCTCGCGGCGGCCAGTGCAACTCAAACGTGGTACAGCAACAATGACACAGGCGCTTCTCTTCTCATTTGTTCCATTCGTTTTTCGATTGTATTCTAACTGGCCATATTTTAGAAGGCGCCGGGTTCGGGCTAGTTGGTGCTGATCTATAACTTTTGTAATCGCTAAAGGCACGTACGCGACACGAGTGAAAGACAAGTCATTAGGGAGTTTCAGAATGGCGCACCGCGAGTCCTTGCGGTGCGGTCGCTGCCACTGCGCGTGCGTCGTAATGCGAGCCGGCGTTCGCGGACCGCACGCAAAAAAAAAAAAAAAATCCGAAATTGCTTGCGGTGATGGCGGCCCGCATGTGGCCTGCAAGCGCTGGTTTCGAGGCTACGGTGTCGCTGCGATCGTGCGTTGCGGATCGCAGCAGGGAAAACGCTATTCTAAACCTCATATGGCGCCCGCTACGCCCGCAACGGCCGCAGCGCTTGCAAACGGTATTCTAAATATCCCTGTTCGCTCGTCTTGCGTACGTGCCTTTAGCTACGGATCGCCATATTTGATACATTGGTCTGCAGTGATAATATGACAGGATTGTATACCTATTTAACTGCCCCGGATACCCGTGATTTGTGCTCGCAGGTGGACCCGGACATTACCTTTGACGATGTCGGCGACCATGATGACCACGAGGCGACCTTCCGGCGGCGCTCCGCGGGGCCGGACTCCGGTCTGTCGGGCTTTGCAAGTTCCATCCTGCGTCGAGTGCGCAGAGCCTGGCTTTTCGGATTCGGTGCTGGCCAAACCAAAACAGCGTCTTCCCCCGATGCGCCGGGCGAGAGCTCTACGCCGGCCGTACAGTCGACGACTACGCCTCAGTACACCACGCGGCGCTTCTCGCGGCAATTGGACGACGACTTCGAGTACCCGGGCTCTGGCGATGGCAATGGGGACGACGAAGACCAGGAGGACGTTTCGTCGGCGACGCACAGTGGCGCGGGATACCCCACCTCCGATGGCGGCCGTCCACCCGTACTCGATGGCAGGCCCCCCAAGACAACGCATGCTCAACTGCCCCGTGAGTACACGCTTTGTCTTACGCAAGCATCGCACGCCAGATATGTATGTATGAGCCGGTGCACTGAGCTGTTGCAGTTACGGGGTCGTCTTGGATGAGGCGGCATTGTCCTGCACCGTCGAAGATAGCATTAAGTGTGAACGCACTAATGCTGCGACAGCGGGTTTCGTGATCGACCTATTTTTGGTTTTTCTACGCTAAATACAAGGCTTATGCTTAGTCTTAACTCAACTTGTCTAAAATTATCATTGCCTTAGTCTTTGCTCAATTATTCATTGATTTTCAATAGTTTAACTCTTTTGTTACCACGCCTATTCAAATCGATCACCGGTGATCGATGCTTTGGATCATCGATTTTGGCGTGGGGAATTCGCTTCTCGCGCACGAAGCACATTGTAGTAGTTAGTCCAGCCACTGAACTTTCAGAATCAATCAGAATTTGCCCGTTTTGGCAACACAGTGATTTTCGACAGACTTTTGCGGGAATCAATGTGCATATGTGTTGGAAAAATGCACTTGGTTGCGAATAAATTCTACAAAAAAATTTTTTCAGGTCTGCCGCATGTATAAAGTGCGGAGGTGGACTTCTCAACCAGTTTCCAGTAGCTTTAGTTTTGTTTGTAATATTATAATAAAGACAGGGCTGCATACAGTGTCGCTAGTCGCTCCTGTGGCGTCATCGTCACGCGCGCACGAGTGCGAACTTGCGCCGTGGGAAACGCGAGCCGCACGGCATTGTCTTGCAACGCGCGCACCTTTATTGAGTGAGGACGAGCTTACAGTCCCAGGGTGACAGCACCTCAGCTTCAAGGTTTATGGCTACAATGTTTTGCGTCAGCCTCAGACATCTGTATTCGTTCATTGCTTTGTTTTGTTACGTCCTGAAGTTGTCTGCTCCACCACAAGTACATAGCTGCTGACTTTCATGCACAATTTTATAGCTACTCTAGTTACGTGCGTGGTCCACACGTCGCTGAGACGTGTGTGTGCTGGCGCCGGCTGCAGAGCTTCTCCTCGCGACTTGAAGGCCTTCGGAGCACGTCTTGGCCCTCACTACGGAGCAGGGCGAGAAGTTTTAGAACTGTGCCCTATATTGTTCATTTTTAATACGATGCGCAAATATGCAGAGGAATATGCTGGGATGCATATATTGAAACGCCAACCTATGCGGATTGAGGTGGCCCATGAATAGAGGTGACGCTAGACGAAATAGCGAAGTTCATTGGACATCTTATTTACAAAGGGACCATTCACATTACTGGCATCAATCTATATTAGAACAGCACAAGCTCGTACCTAAAGAAATTAATTTACTGTGAAAAGTGTAAGAGTTCACTTGTGCTTCGCAAAAAAAAAAAAAAACAAGCAGACCGCATGGCACGAGCTTCACCGCATGGCACGAGCAATCAATCAGCACCTTGGTTCCAATGTTGTGTGAAGACAAACATTTTGTACATTTTTTTAACTGTTCCTCGGTCATTTATCTTGCAAATGTATTGCCACAATCTTTCAAGTTTAGTTATCACCCCGTTACACTGTAACTCTCAGCACAAACCGCACCTGCGTTCGAGAAGCTTCAGGGCTGTCGCAGATAAATTTAAGATTACGAACGCAAAGCTGTTCTAGGACCAGCGAGGCTGCTAGCGATAGCGCTAGAATATTGGACGACACATGTATAAATGCCGACGTGCTTCAGCGTTTGTCAGTAGATTGACAGCCGTCACTCTGTTCGCCGCTGTCAGTGCCAGTGTGCGTCGCTGTAATGTGACCATCTGTTTACCGGCCACAAGTTTGGCCCAAATGAACATTTCCATTTTAGGCAAACTGTTTCTTCTGTCGTCAGCGTCACGACCCCGTAACATGTGGTCGAGGTGCTCGCCGGTCCATATACCCGCATTCAAAGTCAAACCTCAACCGTAGAAGGTGACCAACCTCGGTCAGCGAGCTCGCCGCAGGCAACGAGGGCGGCATTCCGAGTTCGCGCTTCTACCAGATAACAAACGAAAGGCCAGCGCCACGGCCACTACTCTGGCAACCGTTGCACTGTCACCCGCCGCGGTCATGATTCAGCAGCCAAGAGAGCCACCGAGCTTCAATGGATCCCCTAGTGAAGACCCGGAGACCTGGCTGGAGACCAACGACCGAGTGGCCACCCTCAACCACTGGGACGCAAAAAAGGAGTTGCGGCGCGTCTATATTTTTGCCTAGAAGACGCGGCAAGGACCTGATTCGACAGTCGAGAGTTTGGACTTGAAAACTGGATCTCCTTCATGGCACATTTGTAGACACGTTCAGGAGTATTGCCTGCTAAAAAAAAAAGGCCGCGATGTTGCTGGAGACGAGGGTACAACTCACGAACGAAAACGTGACTATCTTTGTTGAAGTGATAACCCGGCTGTTTTGTCACACCAACCCCGGCATGCACGAGAAGGCAGGCGAAGGGTCAAGCTCATCGCCGGGCTGATCCGAAGCCCACTGAAGACCGTCCAGTAATTCCTGGCAGAGACAGCAGCGATCGCAAAAACGCTGGAAATGCGAACCCGCCAGTACTATTGCCAAATGATGCGAGTCAGCCTAGGGCTTCATGCGCTCGGCTCCGATGGCCTGCGCGAAGCGATACGAGCGATTGTTCGGGAGGAACTGCGGAAGCTGCTACCCTCATCACAGCCACAAGTGGGCTCCAATCACAGACGTCGTTCGGGAAAAATCCAGTGATCGATCTGCACCTCTGAACCGCCACAGCCGCAAGCAATGAGCTACGCTGCAGCAGCCCAAAGCTTGCACAAGTCGTGTTTTCAAGTATGAACCAGCTGGTCTGCAAAAAGTATTTCTACGCTCCACCTCCACGCGTATGTCAAGAAGCTACACCGTCGCAGTCTCGCCGCCAGACAGCGTCGTCAACGGCGCCAATGCATCCACGCGCGGGCCAGCGCAATGCTCCGAGGAAGACTGACGTCTGGCGCGCCTCTACCACCGCCCACTGAGCTACCACTGCGGTGAAGCCGGGCACACGTACCGCCGCTGCCAGTACCGCCAGATAGGACTACGTGGTTTCGCCATCGACGCGCTGCGTCCACAGTGAGGTGAAAGTCCACGTGACGTTGCCGACCATCTCGCCGGACTGCAGAGGACAACCCGAGGATCTTCTCGTTCACCTTCATTAGGCCGCTATATGTCACTGCACCGTCGTCCGTACATTGGCCTATGCCGGTCGCCTAGCCCGTATCGGGAAAAGTAAGGGCAGCAGTTGATGGAGGTGCGGTTGCTGAACGACGAACTGCTGGACATCCTCCGCCGCTTACGTTGACGCCACGACGAAACTTCAAGAACCTGCCGTCACCTCAACATAACCCCGACCTCGAAACTTCGCGACTAGAAGTAGTCCTGATTGCGCAACGTCACAGTGGTGCCAACCGTCGTAGCAGTGATCCGACGCCGCGACCCAACCGCAACGCCAGGTGACGAACTAGCGACCTCGACATTTTCATCGACGGCCACAGCGTCACTCCTCTCGTCGACACCGGAGCCGACTATTCCGTCATCGGTGGGACTTTCGCTGCGAAATTGAAGAAAGGTAGGACCGCTTGGGAAGGCCCTGAAATCCGTATCCTACAGTCGGAGGTCACCTAGTGACACCAGCGGGAATCTGCGCAGCCAGGGTGACCGTTAACAGCCGCATTTCTCCCGCAAGCTTCATAGTACTATAGCATTGCTCGAGAGATGTCTTTCTTGGAATGGACTTCGTAGGCCTCCATGGTGCGTTCATTGACCTGAGAACAAAATCTATAACACTATCAACAGAAAAAGCACTACCACACTACATCAGGAAGCATCGTCCTGAATGTGCTGAAATAATAAGTGACCGTTCTTCCTCACTCAAGCGTTACTTCCGTCGGCACTCCGAAACCAGAAGACTTCGAATGCGTCGTTGGAGGAACCTGTTGTTCAACCGCGATATTTGCGTTGCAAGAGGAATTTCCGAGCTGCGTGAAGGGAAAGCAACAGTTGTGCTCACGAATTTCAGCAATGAGTACAAACACGTGAGCACGATGGTCGCATACATCGAGGAAATTGTGGAAGTCACCATTGCAATTGCCCTCACAGATTCCGTGGAACCTGCTCTCAAGAACCAAGCCCTTCCCTCGGCTTTCGACGTTAATCAGTCTCTGAATCATAAGCAGGAACAGCAGAAGATCCTGCTCCTGCAATACAGGGATAGCTTTTCGTCGTCGCCGAAAATTTCGCACACCCCGGTGGCGAAACATCGTGTCATAGCAGAGGAAAAATGCCAGATCACTCCGTCAGTCTGTGCAGGGTTTCGACGTGAGAAGGTGAGACCGTAAAGATGCAACTCGAAGAAATTTCATGCGATGACATCACCCAGCCGACCAACAGTTCGTGGGCGTCCCCCGGAGTATTAGGGGAACCCTACGTTTCTGCGTCGATTATTGCCGCCTGAACAAAGTCACGAAAGACATGGATCCTCTCCCACGCGACGTGCTCTAGTGAATCGGCTCCGCAACGCGAAGTACTTTTCGTTTATGGACCTCAAGACGGGCTATTGGCAATTGGAGGGTGACGAGAGAGATCGAGAGAAGACTGTCTTTATCACTCCAGACGGCCTCTTCGAATTCAAGGTTATGCCCCTCGGTCTTTGCTCGGTGCCTGTGACTTTTCAGCGTCTTATGGAAACAGTACTGGCAGGATTGAAATGAGACTTGCTTTGTATACTTAGACGACGACGTCATCATTTCCTCGAACTTCGACGAGCATCTCTGGTGCCTTGCAGCAGTACTTGAAGCTATCAAGGCCTCCGGGCTAACCCTGAAGCCAGAAAAGTGCCAATTCGCGTACGATGAGCACTTGTTTTTCGGACACGGGATCAGTACATCTGGAGTCCGTCCCGACTCGCTTTGAATATTTTGCATATATACTGTTTTTTTTACTGCAGTGTTAACCTGCTGGCAACCAAAAAAATACTTTCCGCATTTTATACATTT